TGTGATGTGCTGGGCTTCTGGTGTGTCCCTGTGCCTGTGAGAAGGAATGGGCTATATCCTGGCATACCTGCACCCAATTCACCCTTTGCTATATATGCTCCAAAATGGAGGCTCTCATAGATTAGAGTTAGGACCACACAGCACAGAGTGGCCTTGACGAGGCAGCGTGGCATCGACATATTTTGCAAAAGTTCTGCAACTAAAACCTCTGTTTTTAACCCTAAAAGTTAGACTGTACCATTAGTTTTTGTTTGGGTTTGACACAGAAGGTAATAACTGTGAGGGGTGAGATGGCTGAAGGATTAGATGTAGTTTTTAAGAGGAGGTAGAATAGGCTACCTTGAAGAGGTGAGTTTTTAGGTATCCCCTAAAGGCAGACAGATGAAGAAATAGCCAGATAGATTGTGGTAGGGAGTTCCAGAGGATAGGAAAGGCTCTGTAGAAGTCCTGGAGTCTAGCATGGGAGCAGATGATGGGGGAGCTAGACAACAGGAGGTATTTGGAAGAGTGGAGAGGACAGTTTGGGTGATATTTTGGGTTGAGATTGGAGATGTAGTCAGGGGCAGAGTTGTGGATGGCTTTGTATGTTGTTGTTGGCATTTTGAATTTCATGTGCTCATGGATGCCAGTGGAGGGACTGGCAGGGAGGGGTGATGGCCACTGAGCGGTTGGTGAGATGGATGAGTCTGGCAGCAGCATTCATGATAGACTGAAGGGGGTATAGCCTGGTTAGAGGTAGGCCGACGAGACGAGAGATGATGAGAGAATGGATTAGTAGTTTTGTGTTATTATTTATTATAAAGGAACTACGTTTGGAAATGGTATGAAGATTAAGACGGCAAAATTTAGTCAGTGATTGCATGTGGGGCCTGAAGGAGAAGTCAGAGTCCAGGATTACACCTAGCACCCTACCATGTGTTGAGGGACTGATAATTGTGTTACACAGGGGGAGGAAATATGATGAACTCTGTTTTTGAACGATTGAGTGAGTTTAAGAAAGTGGTTGTGACATCCATACTAATATTTCAGTTAGTATATTGGTGATGCGTGATGTGAATGAGGGGGTGACCTGAGTAGTAGAGAGATTTGAGTGTCATCGGCATAGAGATTGTATTGGACGCCATGGGAGGTTATCAGCTGACCAAGGGAGGATGTGTAGATATAGAAGGGGTCTGAGGACAGGGCCCTGTGGGACCCCTACTGAGAGAGGAAGAGGAGTGGAGGAGGTGGAGTTTTAGGTGACAATGAAGGTACGCTGAGATAGATAGGAGGAAAACCAGTAGAGCAGAGTCTTGAAAGCCAAGGGAGTGGAGTTTTTTGAGGAGGAGTGCATGGTCAACTATATCAAAGGAAGCAGAATGGTCTAGGAGTATGAGTACAGAGAAGTGTCCATTGTTTTTAGCAGTTAGTAAGTTGTTAGTGAGTTTTAGGAGAGCAGTCTCAGTGGAATGTTGTCAAGAACGTTATTATCAGTGAGGCGGTGGCTCAAACGGTTGTAGACAAGGAGTTCAAGGAGTTTGGAGGTAAATGAAAGTAAGGAGATGGGTTGTAGGTTGTTCAAACTGTTAGGTTACAGGTCTAGGCCTCTTATATCCACTTCGGACTTTGTGGCAGTCTGTGTGCGATTAAAGGAGAACTATGAGGTGAGTGAAAATCACCCATCCTCATAGTTCGAGCTGACGTGTGACAATGAAACTGTCACATGTCGGCTCAATAGAAGTAAGAGAAAACATACCGTCGCTCGCTCACTTCTCAATCATCCCCCTGCAAAGAGCCGTGACTGCCAGTCACGGCTCCCTGCATGGATTCCCTCCAGCGCTGACTGGCGGAACGGACAGGGGAGGGGGCGGGCACAGCTGGCTCTGCCTCTAGATAGGCAGAGCCAGCTGTCATTCACGAAGCTGGGTGGATATCGACAGTAATGTCGGGATGTGTCCCGGCTGCGGCAGTCCCAGTATACCGCGAGCTACACCCGATATACCGAGCTTTGGGTCATGGGAGGACGCTAGTATATGTCCTCCCGTGACCCTTAAGAGGACTATGGGGAAATACACTTACCCCATAGTTCTCCTTTTAATGGAACAATCTGCTCGCTCCCAGGTGCCATCTTCAGTAGTATCTAGTTATGACCTAGTAATGACCCTACGGGGCTCTTATCTCAGAGTGTCCGGGTCCCCTGTCATTGCCTCTGGTTCAAAATCAGAACTTTCACAGCTGACTCCTGTAGATTCAGAATTGGCTTTAGTGGCCAAGTGTATACAAACATACAAGGATTTATTTTTTTCGGTTTTAAAAAGTAACTCTCAATCAGGGCCGGACTGGGACTAAAAATAGGCCCGGGCATTTTAGACTGAGCAGCCCAATCACGTGACCACCAACAGGCCCCACCCCTCACAACAGGGGGCAGAGCCAAACACAGAAGCGCAATCGAGGGGCAGGGCCGGCCACTAGTAAGTATCGCAGGGCTACAGCTGACACACAAGCCTTGCTACAATATAGGAAGCTTGCTATAGAGAATATCTGTAAAAAATAAGTCAAGGCAACTGGACTTGCTGTATTTTTCTTGAAGACGTTTCACTGGTTATCCGACCAGCTTTCTCAATTCAGAAATTTCTGAATTGAGAAAGCTGGTTGGATGGCCAGTGAAACCTCTTCAAGAAAAATACAGAAAGTCCAGTTGCCTTGACTTATTTTTTACAGATATACCATGTGACCTGGATGAATGAACCTTCACAGACATATTACTATAGAGAATCGGATCTCACTGGCCCCCCAACCCTCCTGGCATTCTCTGCACTAAAGTAGCTTACACTCTAATGTCCCCCGCACAGTCACACACTATTATTATACATTTATAAAGCTCTGACATATACCGCAGTGCTGTACAGAGAACACTGAGCCAATCACATGAGTCTTTGTACAGAGGAGCTTACACTCTAATGCAGAATACCATCAGCTATAGAGGACTAAAAATCCCTGCAAAACATGATCTCGAGCGCCCCCCCACTAAATTTACCCCACTCGGCTGTGGTCTCAGGTGGGCTCTGCAAGGTCTGTGGTGGGCTCTGCAAGGTCTGTGGTGGGCTCTGCATGGTCTCAGGCTGCTAAGCCCACCTGAGACCCTGCAGAGTCCACCATAGACCCCGACACAGACCCTGCAGTCTCAGGGGGCTGTGCAGGATCTGTGGTGGACTCTGCTCACCATAGACCTCGCAGAGCCCCCTCAGATCCTGCAGAGCCCACCAAAGGGTATTGCACAGCACACCTGAGACTTTTTGGTGGGCTGTGCAGAATCTATGCTGGGCTCTGCCAGCACAGTCCTCTTATCTTGCACGGCCTGACCTTTTTGGAACGCGGCCTCCTCATCTTCGGCGCCCGACACGGCCCTGGCGCATTGTGGAATCTGGCCTTGGGGCGGCAGGGAGAGTAAATCCCTGACCATACACATACCTTGTTCTTGCAGTCTTCGTTAGCAACGGGGGAGGGGCGGCGATTTGCATATGAATGAGCAGCGATATTTACATATGAATGGGTTGCAGCGTATTGATATGCAAATTACCACGGCCCATTCATATGTTAATATCTCGGTACCGGGACAGTGCAGGCTGCAGGAACAGCACCAGCAAGCTCCGGAAAGAGCACAGAGTAGAGAGAGCTGGGGGAGGAGGTGTTTCTCTGGCCTCCCCCACCAGCGCCCTCTAGTGTCTACTGTGTGGTAGTGCCGGCTCTGCTCGCTACCACACAGTAGACACTGCTCTGCACAGATGCGGCCATCGGGCTTAGCGGACCAGCCCGAACACAATCAGGTTGATTGTGTCCGGCCCGGCCCACCGGGCAAGTGCCCGGTTTGCCCTATGGCCAGTCCGGCCCTGCTCTCAATGTAGTTGCATAGTTGAAAAAAGACACAAGTCCATCGAGTTCAACCTATAGAGCATACCTACTGTACATACATATACACACCCACATATACAATATATATATATAACCTGAATAATGCAATAGCAATTGTACATGTAAGTATTCACCAATGTAACAGCTTCAGGGGAAAAACTGTTCTTAAGTCTAGCGTACAGTGATCTGTAATGCTTATCAGAGGGGAGCAGCTGAAGCAAACAGTCTCTCTAGCATTTCGGGTTCTGCACCCTATTATTTAATATCCCCAATTGTTCAGGTTTCCCAAACCCAGTGACTTCAGTTTCCTAAGATGGTAGAATCCTACAGTATGTTGCAGATCACTATCCCACTTTTTCCTTCCCCTCCACCTTGTCTATACTGTATAGGATGTTTACACCCATTACGTTGCTTATCGGTCCTTTGCCCTGTCTGTTTCTTAACTCAAATTCCTTTTCTGAATATGGAACTGACTATACTGTGCTATTAACTATTATTGATGATACCTTTTTATCCAAGGTCAGTCAGTTCCTAATTTTTTGCAAGAAGTGGATCCTCTCTCTACAATCCTTGTAAGCAATCTGTTCCCTGGACTTGGGACTCCAGATATTTTCCTGTTTGCCTTTCTGTGTCGCTCAATGGATGAAATAGAAAATAGGATTTTTGTACTTACCCTAATATCTGCTTGCTTACAAAACTGAGGCATGATGGTTGGTGGTGGGATTATACAGGGGGCTGGCTCCTATTGTCAGTGTCTTAACCCCCTGAAGGTGGCAGTATAACCCATTGGTCTAAGATTATCTACTATTACTGTGTCCCTCCATGGAGTATAGTAAGTTAAAAAATCTTAATTTATCCAGCTGTAAGCAGGTACTGACTCCCTTCTAAACATTTGTCTCCATTGTATATTTACCAGGATGTTTCTTATTGTTTAATTAGTTATTTCAAATAACTAGCAAGTGGGAAAACCAACAAGATAAAAACATTTTGACATAAATGTGCATAAACAGATACTTTATTTGGTGCTCTTAAAACTGGCACACTCTGTAAGGTAGGAGCTACATCGTTATTGCAGCTCTGTCATTTATGGAAGTTTTTGTAATTTGCAGCTGGTCATAACTTGGAGCTTCTGGAGCCTCTGGTAAAATTCCAGGTGGGGTTGAAGAAACTGAACCTGCATGAAGAAGAACATGTCCTCTTGATGGCAATCTGTATTCTTTCACCAGGTCAGTGGTTAGTGTAGTGACTTTTGGAATATCAGTAGTACATATATGTTTGGGTCTGAGCTGAAGGGCGTCAGTAGCAGCATATTTGTCACAGTCTCTCTACGAATGACTCATGTAAAATTTCTGTTAGTCTGCATTCACACCTAGATGGCAGAGTTTTTGCGCGCGTTTTCGTCTAGCGTATTTTGCTTGTTTTTGTGCATTCTTTCACATTTTTACACAAGTTAGACACACGTACATATAGACACACATCTTGGCTAGCGGATCAAAGACATTGCAGTCAATGGGAAAACGCTCTTAAAAATATGCAAAAGACTTGTGTTGTGCGTTTTTCAGGCTTTTCCATTAAAGTCTGTGGGGCCAAACGTGCTGCAAAATGCCCCAAAAAAGCTCAGGAACTTTTTTGAGCGGCAGGCATTTGCAACTTGCAACAAAACACCTAGATGTAAATGGGGGGCCATTAAAATTAATGGCAGTTTATGTGCTAAACATATTTATGTGCGACAAAATGCCTAGGTGTGAATGGGGCCTAACAGGGACAGCCTTCAGAATGTGAAAAAGAAAGGTTTAGAAGAGCAGCTGGCAAAAAATGACTGTGTTGCAAATTGTCTCCATAAAATGTAGCATTTTAAAGAGAACCAGAATATTCTCATAAGGATGTGTGCACATTCTGACGTTAATCTCATAGGAAAGACTGCTGAAGTGGGAACAGCAGGGAGGTCTACATCATTTTCCAGATGATTTCTGTGTTTCTATCATGTCCCGCTGATCTCGATGTGCAAACACTGGTTTCAGCTTAACACAGTAAATTGTATTTGTGCTGCTCAGTCAATTTTAAGAATCAGAGACTGTATAGCTGGCATCAAACTACAAACCAGGTAGAAGAGCTGTGGTTGAAATCTGCCCCCACTCCCTCTCAATTAGAGAAACTGTACACTTTTGCATAACGCTATATTATCACAATAGATCTTTAGGGCCTGTGTTACTTGGACTTGTGTCATTGATGGGCTTTGGGCAAATGCAGCAAGCATTCAGGTGCATTCCGCTTGCATTTGTCGTCAGTTTGAGGAGCTTTTGAGATTATTCAGATTTCATGCACAGGTGTTCTAACCTGCAGTTGACCTCCTTTTTAAGCTGCCTAAAACACCTGCTTCAAGATGCATTTTCATTTAGATTGATTTGTATGGAGAAACAATCAGCTCTAATGCAAACAAAAACCATTGACACAGATGCTCAATTTGCTCCTACCAAAATAGCACAGAAGATTGACTTGCAATTCCTTATATTTTGTGTAGGTGAGTGTAGTACCCTTTTTTATTTTCTAATACAACAGCAAAAAGTTTCCCAGCACACTCACCAGCCAGCTTGCAAATAAACTTGTCTCACCGCTAAGGTTAAAAACAGAGGTTTAGATACATGTCTTCTGCAGAAAATGTGAAAGCCGCACTGCCCCGCCAAGGCACCTCTATGTAGTGCGGTCCTTAAAGCCCTTCCATGTGCACCTTGCTGCAAAGCTGGTGACAAATTGATGAGTGCGTTTGCCATTTGTTTTGCTTGACTGATTTGGTGCAGTGACGCATGGGGGGGTCTCAGCTGCCATTGTGATGTGCGGGGTCCCTGTGCCTTTGAGGGAGGCTGGGCTTCCTCCTGACAAACCTGCACCCAATTTTATCTTTTGCTATATATGCTCCAAGATGGAGGCTCTCATAGTTTAGAGTTGGTACCGCACTACACAGAGGTGCCTTGCTGCGGCTTTCACATTTTCTGCAGAAGACGTGTATCTAAACCTCTGTTTTTAACCTTAGCGGTGAGACAAGTTTTTTTGCATGCTGGCTGTGAGTGTGCTGGGAAACTTTTTGCTGTTGTACTGTCTAAAGCCCTTCCATGTGCACCTTGCTGTACAGCTGGTGACAAATTGATGAGTGCGTTTGCCATTTGTTTTGCTTTTTTATTTTCTTTCCCAAAGTGAAATGGTAATGACTTTGAGATAGCTTACTTACAAATAATTATTATCCAATGTTTTTGTAGACCGCCCAGGTGTGCAGGATAAAGCACTGGTTGAAGCCATTCAAGATCGCCTCTCTTCTATCCTTCAAACCTACATCCTTTGCAAGCATCCCCCACCAGGAAGCCGACTCTTGTACCCTAAGATGATCCAGAAACTGGCTGACCTACGCAGCCTAAACGAGGAGCATTCCAAGCAGTATCGCTTCATCTCTTTCAAGCCGGAGCATACCACACTGCTCACTCCACTAGTGCTGGAGGTCTTCGGCAATGAAATATCCTGAGTTTGATTTACGACTTTCATTTTAATAGAAGTAATTTGGTGTATCCAAGTTAAGTTGGGTCTTAATTCTATTTTCTTCTATGGGAAATAACTAGGTTCCTTTAATCAGAAGATGATTAGCTTGCCATTGTATATAGTGCACACTATTTAAAAAGACCCACCTGGATAAGCTAGATTGGATGGTTATAGTGCATTCTTTAATTCTGCTACAAAAAGGGGGTTAACCTCCTTTGCCATGCTGTTGACGTAATGTACCAATTTTACAATGCTTTGCCATGTTGTGTGCCTTCTAGACAGTTAATGTCAAATCTTGTAAACTTGATATTTTTGGTCCATATGGACACGCCTCTATTTATATAAGCCATTGTTCACATTGATCTCAGACTTTTGAATCTCAAAGTCATGTGCCAAATCATTAAAAGACTCTAAACACCTTACCTTCTTTAAATTATATCTTCGAATGTAAATACATTTTACTACAGCAGTTTAACCAAAGTGTGTATGTGCTTCATATAGAGCAGAATTGTCCATGCATGTACTTTATAAAGAGCCACATTTTATTGCTCCAGTAAGATTTAGTGGATAATTTTTAAATGAAAAAGGGTTTGTTTGGAAAATGTATATTTTTCTATGCATAGGGAATTCTATTTTAAAAAAGATAAAAGCCTTTTGTTCACTTATAAAGGATTACAAGCCCTCATCGTTGTCATTTTTTACCTGGATGTGTAACTAATAGACTATGCATAAAGTTTAATAAATATTTCCACCTAAAATGATTTGTTTTGGATAGGTGGAGGATAATTAGGCAACACTCTGTTCTATGTGAAACCAACCTATGGAGCCCTGCTATGAAGATTGTCTGCAATGAAGTTCCTCTGTCAAACTTCTTCCCTTACAGTTCCTTTTGCTGCCAGCATTATGTGTCTTTGTTTCCATAAGAAAATCTTCTGACCATTGTGGCCAGGATTGCTGTCTGAAAAGAGATGATATTGCCAGGGAATTTCACTGTGGTGGATCTTTACAGGGAGCCAGCACTATGTTTAACATTACAAGAGAAATTTTTCTCTTTGACCTGAGACAAAATAATTTGTTTTAAGCAAAGTATTTCTTTAAGCAAGAAACCACAAGATCAGGGAAAATATTTTATTTCTAGCCCATTTATATATTTGTTAGGGTTCAGCTTATGTGATTCCCATGAAATATTTTATATTTATCTGTTGTAAGTTTTGAATTGTCATATGGGTATATCATAAAGGATAACATGATGGCTATATACAGGTGAAACTCGAATAATTAGAATATCGTGCAAAAGTAATTGCAGTAAGTGCTGCAAAAGGGGCCCAAACCAAGTACTGAGTACATATGCATGCTTGTACTTTTCAGAGGTCCGATATTGTTCTATGTACAATCCTTGTTTTATTGATTGCATGTAATAATCTACTTTTTTGAGGTTGTGGATTTGGGGTTCTTGGGGTTTTCATGAGCTGTAAGCCATAATCATCACAATTATGACAAATCACGGCTTGAATTATCTTGCTTTGCATGTAATGAGTCTATCTCATATATTAGTTTCAACTTTTAAGTTGCATTAGTGAAATAAATGAACTTTGCACGATATTCTAATTATTCGAGTTTCACCTGTATACAGAGAGAGATATATCTCTATATAGAGATATATCTCTATATAGAGATATATATCTCTATATATATCTCTATATAGAGATATATCTCTATATATACAGAGCAAGGTATGCCTCATCTGAATGGAACTGTGCTATGCATATGCACTAGGTAACAAAACAGGGAAGACTTATTTTTCTACATTATTTTTAGAAGGCAAATCAAACTACAATATTTGATTTTCACAAAAAAGCACAGAGATTGACTATATTCTGAAAAAAAGAAGAAACAGAAACATTTATATTTATAGTTTGGCTTTAAAATGATTGTCTCTGGTGGAACTCTAAGCCACCTTTGTGTGGCAATGCACTATGGTCTCTCCCTTTTGTATCTGCTGATTGTAGCCCAAACTGTCAATGGGTAGTGAGTGACCCCCTGGAAGTGTTAGATATTTACTGCCTATAAAGTGGCCCATTTATGATAACCACTTCTCTGTGCATGAACTTCTTGCACAGGTGCTTTTGTTGTCCCATGTGTGATACAGACATTTTACTCAAGTTCAGTGTCAGAATCTGTCAAGTGTGGCCATACATACATTATGAATGACGAAGTCTAACGATTCAGTTATCTGATCCTAAAAATTAAAATGCATGGTCACTTACCCACAAATTTCTGGATAGCGGTAAAAAGCAAAAGCTGCAGTTTTTTCTATTGCGTGCTTCACCTGACTTAATTAGTATAGTGGTCTTGTTTATATCATGCATTGCCGACTACTGGTTTGTAGAGGGATTTATGGTCATTTAAACTACACATTTTCCTATAGGTGCTCTTCCATGTCTTAAGAGTCACCATAACCTGTATTGCCTAGTTAAGTACCACTTTCCTCAGGATACTTAACAAACTTTAGGGCATTCTTTAGCCTAATCATAGACCTAAAATGGAGTTTTCCATATGTCCAATATATATATTTTCTTTGCAGGGTAATGTGAATATATCCAAGACTTTGAAGACCATAGTCTTATTGGTATAAGAGTTATTGTAGTAAAACAGGCTCCTTTTGGTCTACTGAAATGTTCTTTTTGTTGGGCACAGGGAATGCAGCTGCTAACTGTCATGTAAAGTAGGATGGGTCGTGAACTGTGGTGGTCATTTGGTACCTCTGTGTCTGCTGGAGTTTCTGATGACCCCTGCTGGGAGAAGTGTCTTCACAAGACAACTCCTGAAAGTTTCATTTTAATCTTTGTAGTGTTCAGCTTCAGGTATTGCTTTTGCTTTGTATAATGTGTGGAAAGAAACATATACACAAACTATTGTTATTCTTTATTACCACACTTACCTTTCACACAAATTCTCTCACATTGTTGTACTTTGTAAACTACTTACGTTGTTCATTGTGCTTCAATGGTAGTGACATGCTTCTCATTCATAATGAGAAGTAGGTCAGAGTCAGGCTATTCTTCTTACCAATGGCACACCTGTATTTGTTATGTCTGCTATAAGCTGTGGCTCTGTTAATAATCAGCAGTTATCGCTGCAAGAATGGGGGGCCTATGGAGCAGGCTAGAGTATTGATGCTGTCCTGCAGAATTAGGGCTCATGTTAGTTAACAAATGCAGCTTGCTTTAGGGTGCATTCAGTTTGCAATAGTGAATAGTTTGAGATGCTTCTGTGATCTTTCAGAGTTCCATTTCAGGTGCTTTTGACATTGTCCTGAACTGATTTTGACCTCTTATTAAGCTGCGTCAACCTCCTTTAACCTGCCTTTGAATTCCCATTGACTTGTATGTAGAGAAAAGCAGATCTGATGCAAACAAATGTATTACACAGGCCCAAATATATGCTGTGGTATAGCAATTAGATTGGTATTTTTACAGTGATGGCAAATATGAGGGGGAGAGAGAGGGACTGCGAATCTAACTGTAGGCAAATTTTAGGCAGTTAGTTAGGCACATCTGTATGCTTATCTTTCATGGTAAGAGGCTGTGGTTATCAGGTATCCACAACCTTTCCTGAATGCAGCTGCAAGACTCAACCAACTTACCGTGCAGTGTTTGTTGCCCCTCTCTGCCAATCTCTCCACCGGCTTCGCTCGCCCAACTAATAACATTCAAAATACTAACAACAACATACAAAGCCATCTACAATCTGTCCCCAGGTACATCGCCAACCTTGTCTCACAATATCACCTAAACTGCCCTCTTTGCTCCTGTCAAGACCTCCTGTTCTCCAGCTCCCTTGTCACCTTCTTCTTTGGGATTTCTCCAGAGCCCCTCCCATCTTGTGGAACTCTACCCCAATAGATAGATGATAAGCTGTTGAAAACAAAAATAGATTATTTTTGCATAAACATAATGCAAAACCACCACAGCAACTGGCTTAAAGTTGGTTTTGGAAGAAACAATGACATTCTAACAATATAACCTGCATTGCTCTCCGCTTTATAGTATAAAATACATTTGTAAAAAATGACCTGTGTTATGCTTCAAGGTTAAGCTCTCAGCTCTGTCTACTACATGAGCATATCATGGATACCAAAAAGCACAGGAACACCTGAGTAATGAAAGCATCATATCTGGACTCATGGTTCACATACCATGCATAATCCAATATACATGTTCAGCTTTGCTTAAGAACTGACGAAAGTCACAGGCAGGAGTTTGGGATTGCTGCTTCCAAACCTTCTCACACAATCAGTTGCTTCTTTACAGATTCCGTTTCATATAGCCCATTTCCATATACACTAGAGTCTCCTGGCCGTGTGATGTGTGACACCACCAATTTTTCTTATCCCTAGTTGAGGTCTAGAAAAATCTGCAGCAAAGATCAGTCTTTGGGTCTATGGAAGCTATTAATAAATAGTGTTTTTATACCATATTCAAATTTACTTTAATCCAAAGACATCTCTTGCAGCCAAGAAGGAGATTACAGTCCCCATGCATATGGCAGTAAAAATATGAGTTCAGGCGAGTCTGGAGCTCATTTCTAAACCCACCTGGAAGCATGTAATGCGTTGCTATGACTGAATGTACATTTAGACGTTTAGCAGCATCTAGGCGCATTCAGTCTAGCAGTGTTTACACAAACAAAAAATGTATGCGTTCTAGGACGGTACAGCTTGATTTTGTGGCGCTAAAGGCATCTAAACATCACTGTGACTAAACCCAGGAACATTTAAACAAAGGAAAAGTAATCTTGGAAAAATAAAAGTTGTTTATACTTCTGTGTTTAACGCAATTGGCCTGTGTGCATGAGGCCTAAGGCAGTTAGCTGTATTTCTATTATTCTATTCCAATTGCCTGCCTGCGGTAGGAGGTTCGCTTCTTGCAAGCTGAAATGGATTATTAATAATGGCAACAAAGTTTCTCCATCATTCATCTTTCTTACAAGGGTCATACATACCTTGCAAATAATATTTCTTTTTTTAATTATTACCAGTTAACTTGAATAGTAAACTCCTTCTAAAATACTATGTTTAATAGAGGTACTTATTCATTTGTAGCTTTATGTAGTGGAGGATGGACATTTTGTGATATATTATGCAGGAGAATGCAAGAGCCAATGATTTGACAGTGCAGAATATGTATATACACATACAGTATATATAAAATATATAACATACCTCGTGTATATGAAATTACAAGTGCCTAATAAACTGACATGGTATATACAGTATATTGGTTTATCTCACAAGATGGCTGCCTGTGCTACATGTAGGTTAACTTGACTTGTTTCTGAGGAAGAACACGTTTATTACTATTCAGGATACGTATTTTGATGACACTTTTTTAAAAGTAACACAGCTAATATGTCACCTATGTTCATCTTACAGCTGGGTTTATTGTAGGATTACAGTTGATGCCCTGATATTTGGGTAGGGCCTGCAAGGGGGAAAAGAGGGCAGGTGTCTCTTAGTTCACTCTTATTTGACAGATCATGGCCAGCAGTCATGCATTTTAATGTTGTTCGTGCTTAGACAACCCAGGAGTGATTGACTACCATGCAATACATACCATCTATAGAGTTGTTTAATTCATGTAATTCATGTAATTGGTCAATGTAAGTTCTCA